AGAAAAATAGAATAATAAATAACAAAATCTTTTTTCTTTTGATTTTTAAACTTGAATATGTATAGTAACATACTTTAAGTCTCATTGAGTTATGTATATAGTGTGGAATGAATTTTTAGTCCTTTATGATTGTTAAGCATGATTCATAGTCTTGGGAATGTAAAATAGGCGTTACCTACAAAGATATAAAACGTTAGAAACTTGAGTTTTTATTTCTTTAAATTTAAAAATTGAAATACTAAAAAATAATTTAAATAACACATAAATTAAAATATAATAAAAGAAAATTATTCTGTGACCAATTAAAATGATATTTTATCTTCTTTAAATTATAATTCATTTCAAATTTATAAAAAAAACCTATAGTTCAATATTTTCTCTTTAAAAATTATTTTTTTAACTTACTATTATTTCTAGAAATATTGGAAATCAAACATGTTTTGGTGATGGAGAAAAATCTAGTTGAATAATATTAATTTTTTTTTTGATTTTATTTAAATATTATTTGAATGAAAATATGTAAGAGTTTAATGCTAATACATATATTTATATATTAAATGTTAATTTCAATTGATATAAAAAATAATATTAATTAAATTAAAATGATAAATATGATTTAATATAAATATAAAGTCTATTTTAATAATACTACGACTTTATTTAATAAAATTGTTTATTTGATTACTATTACTTTTGTTATTATAGTATGAAAATTAGTACTATAATAAATATAACCCTTATAATATTTGTTAATACGATAATTCGTTGGTTTAAAACTCCTATATGGAGATACTTTTATTCATTTACAATCAATAGTTCCCACTTCCCACTCCCACAACAAGCAATATCGAAAAAACCCAAAACAAAGCATTCCAAACAATTCCGATCTTTGGTCAGAGATTGCGACAATGAGCGACGGAGAAGACGCCACTCGACGCTGTAGTGCGATTGCTGAGTATAGGAAGAAACTCCTTCAACAAAAAGAGTACGAATCCAGGGTTCGAGCAGGTTTCCTCCCTTCTCATCTCATTATCTCCATGATCTAATCCAATTTCGGACCGATTTTCTCGATCTGCGTTTTTTTTATTTTGAATTATCGTTTCGCGGTTTCGCACTTTAGAAAACTTTAGAATTTGGGGTTTTTCTTTGCCGTTATGGTTCTCTGTCGGTTCTATCAGCTGCTTGTCTTGGTTAATGCGATTGACTGATATTCTGCTTTAAACTTTCATTGCTGCAATAGTTTAACAAAGAAAATTTGTAGCTATTAGTTCACAAACCAAATCTTTATCTCTCTGAACAATCTTATGCTTATGTTAGATGGTTTTTTCCACATGTAGTTAGTGTTATACTCATGAATGTTCTGGTAGGGAGAGTCTGAGAGCTGCTAAGAAGGAATTCAACAAAACAGAAGATGATTTGAAGTCTCTTCAGAGTGTTGGTCAGATCATTGGGGAAGTTCTTAGGCCTCTTGATAATGAACGCTGGAAGTCTGCATCTATACTTCTTTTCCCACCGCTATTGTTGATGTTTGCTAATTTTAGTTTAATTAGCTAAACATCTTCTGAACTTGCCTTACAGACTTTTAAACTCTGTTTCTGTATTGATTCGTTTTTTTTTTGTGAGAATTGATCAATGATAATAACTATAAACTTGGATGTTGTATGACTTTTCATTTATTGTTAAAGCAAGCAGTGGTCCTCGCTATGTTGTTGGTTGCCGCAATAAAGTTGATAAGGAGAAACTGACTTCTGGAACTAGAGTGGTTCTTGACATGACAACACTTACAATCATGAGGGCTCTTCCTCGTGAAGTAAGTAATTAGAATCTGAATTAGTTCGTAAACGAGTATTCTTTGGCAATGTCTGATACCATATTGCATCTTTGGATTACAGGTTGATCCAGTTGTTTACAGCATGTTGCATGAAGATCCTGGTAATGTTAGCTACTCAGCTGTTGGTGGTTTGTCTGATCAAATACGAGAGCTGAGGGAATCTATTGAGCTCCCTCTCATGAATCCTGAACTTTTCCTTAGAGTTGGGATTAAGCCTCCAAAGGTGATTATTGCTTCATGTTTCCCTCCTCTCCCAATTCTGGAGTTATAAAGGATGTGCTTGTGTGTATGGTGATGGGTGAAGCATGATGTTGTGATTTTGAACTGATTTTGGTTGAGAATCTCTTAAATATATTTTGTCTTCATTGCAGGGTGTCCTACTTTATGGGGCTCCTGGTACTGGCAAGACATTGTTAGCCAGAGCAATAGCAAGTAATATTGATGCCAACTTCTTGAAGGTCTGTTTCTTCTGTACCATATCTCTTTTTTTTTTTTTTTTTTGATAGAAAGGCCTCATTAAAATCCTCCTTCAATCCCTCCATGTTATGAGAGTAACATGAAGGAACAACGAAGGAGGAAAGGAGAGCCAAGAAAACTTTTATTCACAAGAACCAGATTACAAGATTGAACAAACTCCTACACTTCCAACGGAAGAACATAAAACTTAACACAAAACATCCAACAAAACAGGGATGAACAATTCCTGTACCATATCTCTTACCTTTGTGATTTTTTTTATCTGGCGTGTTAACCCATAATTTAATGAATGCATGTCTTCCTTTTCATCTGAATTCAGGTTGTTTCAAGTGCAATAATTGACAAATACATAGGAGAGAGTGCAAGACTGATACGAGAAATGTTTGGATAAGCATGTGATCACCAAGTGAGAGCCTGGAGTTAATGAATGTTTCTTCTTTTCTTTTATATCCCTTAATATCACTCTTTATGTTTGTTTCTTTTTATTCAGCCTTGCATCATTTTTATGGATGAGATTGATGCTATTGGCGGACGCCGTTTCAGTGAGGGAACAAGTGCTGACCGAGAAACAGAGAACCCTGATGGAGTTACTTAATCAGCTTGATGGATTTGATCAGCTTGGGAAGGTACATCATTTTGTTCATTAATGAAGTTCAAGGTTTTTTAATTAAAAGCAAATATTCTTGAACTTTCAGCTTCATCTCTATACTGCATAGTTAAGTTGTTTATACTTTTTATTATTTTCTCACGAAGTGGATGAAGAGTGGATTATTCTGGTAGCTTGTTTACCGCTAATGAACTTCTAGGTGCCTTCAATTACAGCTTTATCCTTTCAAGGTTTTTATTTATTGCATTTCCCCTGGAACTCAAATTTCTCTCAGTGCAATTCTTAATTATTGCCCCTAGTATGCAGGTTTGCTTTAACATTCTCCAAAGTGTGGGGAAATAATTAAAAACTTAAATTGTTTCATGTAGGTTAAAATGATCATGGCTACAAACAGACCTGACTTCTTGACCCTGCACTTCTTCGTCCCGGGCGGTTAGACAGAAAGATAGAGATTCAATTGCCAAATGAGCAATCAAGAATGGAAATCCTCAAGATTCACGCTGCAGGCATAGCCAAGCATGGTGAAATTGACTATGAGGCTGTTGTTAAACTTGCTGAGGTAAGTCAAAGGTGGCTTGTTTTTGTTTGGTGCTTATAATCCCCATCTGGCTAAATATAATCTTTCGCACCATTGCTTTAGGGCTTTAATGGTGCTGATCTGCGAAATGTTTGCACGGAAGCTGGAATGTCGGCAATTCGTGCAGAACGTGATTATGTCATCCACGAAGATTTCATGAAGGTAGAACCTTGAGTCTGGGAAGATTTGTTTCATTTATTTGACATAGCATTATAATTGGGAAAAAGAAAAGGAAGTTTGGATAATAACCGATGATGTTCTTAGTTCTTACCTCTCTCTCTTTGTGATGAAATTGCAGGCAGCTTGAAAATTGAATGAAGCGAAGTAACTGGAATCAAGTGCACACTACAGTGCCGAATTTGGAAAAGAATAGAGCCTTTTTTCTGTTCTTCCTGAAGCTTTCAAAACAAAAGAATTGCACGCTATGCTGATGAGACAATTCTATTAAGGGAACCTTTACAAGTTATGACAAATTGAATTATGGAACAAATTTAGTTCAGGTTGCTAATTCATTTCGTTTTGTTAAAGGTTGTTGTATTTGTATTTCGTTTCAAACTTTCAACCACCATTGATGGGTCTTAATTTCAATTTTATTATATTTGTCAATTGGAGCTCTGATCTTCAACTTTGATAGCTGGTGTTAGTTTCTTTCCATTAATAGCATTCCAGCTAACAAAACTGTGGGGCAGATTCCACTAAACTCAAATCTTGGTTTTAATCTTGTAAATGACGATTTGGTTCAACTCTATCACAAGTTTTTGTATTACATAATTCCTTTACCATAAAAGGAACAGTTTAGTTTTTCTACGATTGAAAAGTTATCAATTTAGTTGGGTTATAAAGAGAAGAAGAGCATTTTGTATGGGAAAAAAACCATATAATAATATTTATCGTCGTTAATAAAAATAATATTTTAATCGTAACATTAGCTAGTCAGGTTTCTATATAAATATAGATAGTTAAATTCTGTATTAGTATTTATATTATGCATAAATTTTGAATTTAGTCCTTATATTTTAATTTGATATTTTTTATACTTTTAGATTTTAAAATTTCAGTCTTGATCTAGACAAAAAATTTAGAATCTATTAAATTAAATTTTGCTATTAGTCTTTATATTATTTTGTAATAATAGATTTAATTTTTATTCTATAATTTGATAATTTTAAGTCATATTATTTAATTATATTATTTCAGAATCATTTGAATCTTAATTGAAATTTTAAATTTTGAATAGTATAGGGACCAACATTTACCACATTAGAGTATATGAACTAAATCTAGAATTTATACATAGTATAAATACTAACCATAACATTAGAAGATGGATGTTGTTGTCCTTTTTTGGTTCTCATTCAACAGCCCTAGGCCGAGCCAGTTATAAATTATCTTCAAGGTGTTGAGCCCACTAATGGCGACTAACCCAATAAATCGGCGGTGTTGTGGAGCAAATATTATTTCACAGTTGTGACCGGGTAATCTCAAGTCTGTTGTCTGACTCTCAAGTTCTAGCTAAGCCGGTTTAGCCAGTACTCGAGTGATTGAATCTTTACTTTTAAACCAACATTTAAGGAAATACTAGCAGTGTCATTAAGATTGCAGAAGCTGTGTATTCTCGAGATGGAGATATGTCAATTATCAGGGCGTTTTTTCTCAGCCGTTCCCCTTCAATTTAACGTCGGTTTAAGAAAATCATCTAGAGCCCCGAAATTTTTAGTTTGTTCGAATAGGGTTAACTGTTACCAAACGGGAAAGACAGACCAAGATTCTCGGAATCGGATGTTTATTCTTGGCATGGGTTTTGTCGGACAATTCTTCACTCAGGAGCTCCTGAATGAAGGCTGGTGAGATTGCCTAAATATCCATTTCTTATAGTTTATTAAATTTACAAAGAACTTTACCATCAATTGTTCATTTCTATGCCTTTTTTATCGCAGGGTTGTCTCTGGGACTTGCACAAGCATGAAAAAGAGAAACGAACTCGAACAAAGAGGATTCAATGTTATCCTTTTTGATGCAAATCAGCCAGAGTAAGTTTTTAGTTTTTTAGTTTTTTTTTACCGCCAAACTTGTAATTGAATAGCTTATGTGAACAAATAATGTTCTTGGCAATTAGATTGGCCTGCTTTTGTCATAATCTTTTTGTAATGATTTTTGCCTTGATTCGTGTTTTATGTTCTATAGGATGAGTACCATGAATTCATTGAAATCCTGTACACATCTTCTTGTCTCAATTCCTCCTGTTATGGGTATTGGTGATCCGGTATGCTGAGAATGTTACCCCTTCTTTCAGGTTTCAGTTCCCAATATATCGATCAGCTTTGGGTTGTTATGCCCCCTTCCCCCCCCTTTTTTTTGTGGTTTATAATTTGGCATATATTTTCCTTGGTTGATTTTACAGATTCTTCAACATGGAGAACTTCTAAGAAGTACACTGATGGATGTCAATCTTCAGTGGCTCTGTTATCTGTCCTCAACTAGTATGCCTTTCATCATTTATATCGTTTTACTGAATATAGCATGCATAAATGCTGGAATACTAGAAAGATAGTTTATCTGCATTAGATCTATGACGGCTTAATGTTCTTCTTTGAAACTTGGAAGAAAATCTAGACAGTACTGTATCGTGTTCATACATTATTCGGCGATTTGTCAAAAGAGTGGATTCTGGTATCACAACATTTTTATGTTTACTAAAACTTATATCTGATATGGAAATCCACTGTTATCTTAACAGGTGTCTATGGAGATTGCGGTGGTGCATGTGTGGATGAGGGGTAAGACCAATGCTATGCCTATATTAATATAGACTAGTGTTTTAGAAATTACTCCCCATCAGGAGTCACTAATTTCTTGCATTACATCATGGCAGTTATCCTGTAAGCCCTACAAATGAAATGGCTAAATTGAGGTTAGCTGCAGAGCAAGGATGGTTGAAGGTAGCCCATGATGCTGGGATCAAGGCACATGTATTCCGACTTGGAGGTATCTATGGACCTGGTAGAAGGTTGTGATTGATAATTTTCATAATCAGTTGTTTGATGATTAGAATCACTAGTTTGTAAGGATTTCACATGTTAGATTCTAGTTTCTCTTATGAAGATATTAGGTAAATTTTGGCCTTTGTGTTTCATTTATGACTAGCTATAGAAATTAACTCCACCTTTGTATGTTAATGCTATGGCTCTCTGCAGATTCATTCTATGTTGTTTTGATTAAATTTTTTTGGAAGTATCCATGCTGGCATCCATATCTAACATATATTAGGAAATGTTTTATAGGGATCTGACCATCCAAAAACTTGGAAAAAAATCAAGCATACCTGTTCAGACACATACTCATGTTTAATCATCAATGCATTTATTTGAACTTTAAATCTCAAAATTGTTCATTTAATCATATTGTTATGCTATGGAAGTTCAGCACGAACTTTTGGGAGGCTTACAAGTGAGTGAATTATCAGCTTCTTTCCTTGCAGTGCTGTTGACACGATAATTAAGCGGGAACCTTTATCAGAATCCCAGAAACGGAGAGTGTCCAAACAATTCACATCCAGAGTGCATGTTGCAGACATCTGTCAAGCTCTTAAGGCCAGCATTCACAAAAAACCCGCCAGGTATGCTTGATTATCGCTGGAATTAGGTTTGCTGATGCATTTTTAACTGAATAAATATCAATTGAAGTTCATTTAATCAACTGTAATCAAATTCATGATTCTCGAAACCTTTAATTAATTTTCATGTATCTCGTCCATGGCATCTCAAACCAGTGATATGTTGAACATTTTTCAGGAGAATTTACAATATTGTAGATGATGATCCAGCATCTCGGAAAGAGGTATTTGCTTATGCATTGGACTTGGTTGAGAAAAAGTGGCATTCTCTAACCAAGGAAACCACTCATGAGAGAGCTGAATCATTTGGTCAGAAAGCAAGTTTAAGAGGTGAGAAACGTGTTTCTAATGCGCATATGAAGAATGAACTAGCAGTGCAGCTTCTTTATCCCAGTTATAAATCCGGATTACAGAGCATAGTTGACCAAATGGAGAACCCGTTTTAGCTGTACACACCGTTTGGTTTGGAAGAACTTAATGCCTGCATTTTCACTGATGTTGATGCTTGGCTAGTTTTAAGGACCCTAACGGCCTTTATTGACTCGTTGAGCATTGATTGTGCATTTCTCTCTCTATGTGCTCTTCATGCTTTCTCATGAATTGATTTAACCAAGTCCCCCTTCTTGCACACGTTTAGTAGATTAAATCCATAAAGAGAATGAATAGAATGATTATAAACAAATTCAATAAAAGGTATGCATTCTTTCTAAGATTTTGAAATTTTAAATACAATGGATAAGCAAAGTATGCTAAAAATATTATACTGCGATTGAGCAGCTACCGAAGACGATAAGTCATTCATTCTCGATCAACTCGAGACCAAGACATTGCAAGAGAAAGGGGTTATTGTGCTAACTGAAGAAATCATGTTAATACTGGAAAGGAGAATTGAAAGGCAAAGGACAGTGGAATTCTTTTATCTTATTTTCTCTATCAAATCAACGCTTCATTGAGTTGATTGTCAATGGCCAAAGTTGTTGGTTTGTTTCAGATCAGATGATATCTACTAAGAACTAGCTTGCTTGCTTGCTTTCTAGAAATCAAGAAAATAACTTCAATCCATAGGACTTTGAACTCTGAAAATATCAATGCTTAATCAACTAAATCGAAACTTAGCCGCAATAGGACAGTTGCTTGTCCTCCTCCATAAGTCTGCGACAACAGCATGAAAAGTTGTATAATAAAACAACATCAAACACTTTTCAGAAGTGGGTGTTTTTATGGTTCTCAATCTCAAAAGTACTCTACTTGATCTCAAAGAGCACCTGGGCGGCTGGCCCAGAGCTTCATGCAAGTTTTATTTCTTTATTATTATTTTTTATTATTAATCCGGGGTAGGTGCAAGTTTTATTGTAGGTTCTCTTTTTCTAGCTCTATGGTAAACATTACTATCACATATGCTTTTATTGTTGTTCAGCTTAAAAGGTAATTTGTTTTCCTATCTCAATCACTGAATCCATAGAATGCCAATACAAGTTATTACAGCAAAATCTGACCAAAAATAATACATAAAATAGAAACCCTCTTCTTGATTGTCACCAACTAAACGTAATCTAGTGGTCTCTTCCCTACTCTCAGTTTCCAAGAAATAAAGTTAAATCACTTGCAAACTTTACAATAGTTTAAAGATGAAGTGATTTTTATTCAGAAACAAAGAAAATAATGATATCATATGACAGCTTGTGAGCATTAGAATATAAATGTAAATATCAATTCTGTGTGGGATATTATTGTTCCCTTATAAAGACAAATATTGATTTTAATGGTTTAATGGTTATGGTCCCCCAAGATTTCACACCCAACATTGATTTTAAGAAATTGCATGTTGTAAATAAATAAAAGTTTACGCATCTGCCATTTGTACGGGACAATATCTTCTTGCAAGCATCAAATAAATGACGAATTTAATGGTTTATGCACAGCAGTTGACAAGCAGAAACACCAAAACGGGAAACGATAATGTGGGTCATGCTGATGGTTAACGATTATAAACAATGAAAAACCCTCCTTTTTTGTTACAGACTGACTTCATTACTGACAAGTTAATCCTATGATGACAGGAAGTCGAATTTAAATATATATCTGATACGAATATAATACAAAATAGGAATACCCCGCAGGCGACAAGGGCATTGAACCCCTGTCCAAACCCATTGTTCCCTTGTAAACCGCCATAGCCTCAGCCTCAACTTCAACCCTCCTTTTTTATCCCAATGGGTCCTTTTTGTCAATACTGAGAACCAAATAAAACCTTGTTCTTGAAAGGTTAGCAAAGCCATGCAAACTGCTGGTTTTTACAACTTTCTTGGTACTGGATTCTAATCATATGTAAATAAGTTTTTCATGGCTTTTCCTTACATGCATCACTTGAAAGAAAAAAGACAATACAAAGAGCAGCCGGTGGGAGCTTATTTGTCTTTGGAATTGCAGCAAAAAAAATATTTTTTCCCACTTTGTTCCAAGGGATTTTAAGTAATGATGAATGAAAAGAAAAACACAGTTATGATGGAGATGAAGTAAAAGTAGATCAAAAGCTTTTGACTTTACTGATAAAATTTCAAGATTTTGGTTTGTAGATTCACGGCATTTTAATTGAATTGTTAATGTGCTTTCATTTTCCATTTTTAACTTGAATAAATACAGATTGTTATATTAAAAAATTTGGCTTTCGAATTACCATAGTGGACAAAAGTAACATAAAAAAATCCACAAAAGAAGTGGTAAGACCTTTGTGTAAAAGGAGATTTAGAGAAACTTAAATTAATGCTTAAAAAGAAAGGAAAACGAACGGAACGATATTCGTACTTTCTTTTGCTTCTGAAATGGAAACGTCAAACATTCCAAATTTCTTACCAAATCCAACTCGAAATTAACAGCCTTTTTGTCCGTCGCTTCTATGTCTGATCTCTCTCGAAGAAAAATAAACCTGAGTTTAAATTTATCAGTCTAAGATAATTAATTATTTATAAAAATAACATGAAATAAACTAAAAATCCAAATCTTAATATATAATTAATCTAATATGAAAAAACGTCTTTTATGTAGGATTGCATTTGATTCATAAGTAATAAATTAAGCTCAAACACATGGACTCGTATAGATTAATAATTATCTCATTAATTTTAATAAGGGAAATATTATCACTGTACATCCCAAATAGTTATTATATCCCAAACCCTAATAATTAGAATTTTTTTTAAGAAGAGATAAATCTCCTAATTCTTCAGTAACTCTACAATAGGCATGCACTTGATCACTTGTCTCCTAGTGTAATGGGGCTGTTTTCAGCAATGAAGCTATCTATAATCAGCTGAAACTCTTCGCTGCTCATTTCGTCCATTGATTTCGTCCGCGGCTCTATACTTGAGGTCACCATCTTTCCGCCGTCGATAACCGTCTTGGATCTCCGAAGCTCCATGGGCATCTGGTTTCGAGATTCCGAAACCATTGATCGAGTTCTTCGGTATTCCTTTTCCTTCAATTCAGCTGAAGACACGGCCGGCTTTGTCGTCGTTGTAAGTTGTTTAACTGGTGAGATAGGAGTGTTTGTCTCTCTAATTGTATCAGTATCAACTGTCGTTTCTAGCTGCTTTTCAGAAGAAAGAGGAGTCGCATTTACTTCAAAGATAATTTGTTTGTCCATCACGGTCTCTTCCGTTGCCGGAGCCACCGTGGATGCGGCGGGTGTTGGTATATTCCGGCGTGAACTGCAGACGTACTCATAGTAGATGTCAGTGCTGGTAGATTGTTTCTGGGTCTGTTTTTGGCTGGATAATATATAAATAACCACGATTATGAAGTTTGCAAGGACGAAAGTAAAGAGAGGTTCGTTAAAAGTAGAGACGAAACGGCCGAGAAAATATCCGACGACCACGAGGGTGCCAGGGATCAAAGTGGAGAACCACGACCATGACAACAAAATCAAAGCCAACAAAAATCCGGTTAAGCGGAGCACGATCTTCAACTTCTTCTCCATGTTGTATCTCCATAAAGCATCTTCTTTCTCAGCCTTGACGTTATGAAATTCAAAGGAAGCCATGTTTGATTAACAAAGACTGAAGAGGGAGGTTAGAGATTGCTTTCAGAGTTTATTGAGTACAGAAAAGGAGAGCTTTTCCTGGGTTTGTAAACTGAATGATTAGAATTGATTCGCAGGGCACATTATATATAGGTGAATTATCAAGTGCCTTTTCCATTAAAAAATATACGGAAATAATAATTGAATTGAATTAATATGGAGCTGACAATGACGGCGTCAACTAATGAAGCATGACCTAAGTAGAGAGTGTCACGCAAGACTGTCGACACCGGTCGCCAAATCAGATTTACGCGGATGATAATGATTGAATTTGGTGATATAGTTTGAGGATCAATTTAAAATTTTAAAAAGTTTAGAGTTTAAATTAAAAAAATTAAAGGATTTAGTTTACAATTTCCCCCAAATATTAGAGTCTATTAAATTTTTTGAAATTCTGATAATTTAAAAAAAATATGGGAGGATTTAGTTAAGAGCATTCAAAAAATTTAAAATTTAATCTGAATTTTTAAAAATTATAAAGGGAGCAAATTAATTTTTTTGAAAATTTTAAGAATCTAAATTATATATATATATATATATTTTTTAAATCTGAGGTAGTCATAGCCTTCACTAATTCTTCTTGTGTTCCGTCGCTGACTGAGAGGTTCTTTGAGTATCACCCCAATAATTTTCCTTTATCGCACGGTGTCGCGAGACGCTGCAACCTATGATCCTTCCTATTATGGAAACTAATAGTGGTCATAGGCTTGTAAATTTATTTTCTTTATTATTATTTTTAAAAAATTTAAACCTTCAATTAATAACGTAATTTCTCATTTTTATATTTTTTCTAAAATTTATTAATTGGTGGATTTTTGTAGGGTTTTATTCATTTTCTTTCCAAGTATAAATATTTTCTATTTTATCTGTCAACACAAAATTTTGTCATATGAAAATATCAAATATAAATAGTTTGTTATTTTATATTTTTTATATCTTTAAAAAATAAACTTATTGAATGGTATCAACGGTAAAAAAATATTATTTTCTTTAGAGAATTCAAGTATTGTGAATAATTATATTTATAAGATGTTTGTGCATTGTCAATAAATTAAAAGAAACTTTAAATAAAGATATTTATCTTTATTAACTTTTAAATTCATTATAAAGTTACAATATTACGAGGAATGACCAACTTGTGTGTTACCGAATACAAATTCAAAGACCAATAGGATTAAAAAAATAACTCAAAGTATAATTTAAAAAAAGTTTAAGATGGACTGTCTTTGTTTTCTTTATGTCTAAGACATAACAGAGCTCTCAATTATAATTATATACAACCTCACAAGATAATGCCAGGAAAGTGGCATACAAATCAGTCTATTATTATAATATGAAGTTTTTAAATTATTTTTTTCATTGTCTGTTGTTTGATATTTCTGATTTGGGTTATTGGATAAGACTTTCATCCATCAACTTGTAGAGAAAAAAATAGGGATTTTACTAAATAATAGATTATTTAGTAATATCACTATTTTACCTCAACAAGTTGATGGATGAAATTATTTAGTAATATCCCTATTTTTTTTTTCTCAACAAGTTGATGGATGAAAGTCTTATCCAATGAATCAATTTCAATGCTGGCATATTTGCAACAAGAACGTCATCCAAGTTGGTACTAAAATAAATATCTTCATCGTGTTTTTGCATGAATGTATATTAGTTAGGGTCCCAACTTTCAATCGGCCAGTGAAAATCATTTATAAGTTTAAAATAAAATTAATGAAATGATTAAAAACGATTAAGAATTTGAATTTTCTCAACTTAACTTAAACTAGTTAGCCGACATTGTTGAATTCTTGACTTGAGTTAGAGACTTAATTTGAAACTTAAGTTGGTTTAAACATTCTTTGGGCTCCTCTAGTTATATCCAAAAATTAAATGAGTTGTCATTTTTAATTATGAATCAAATACATTTATATTTGATAGATTATGATCAGTAATGTTTCTCTAATTATAATGGTTGTTAATCATATTAATTATTGTTAAATTTATTGACGTGGCAACATCAAATTTTCTAGCATTGATCGAACATTGAAAAAATAAATTATTTAAATTTTTAATATATATCGTTTAATTGTTATCATAAATATTTGTTAGGGTGAATTTGTATTTAGTCACTCAACTATTCATGTAGTTCTGTTTTGATTATTCAACTATCTTTTTTAAAATCATACATAACTACTATCTTTTTTAAAATCATACATAACTTTACGTTTTGGTTTTATTTTGGTCACCTGTCATGAAAAATTAATAAGACTGTTGACATGTCATTTTTTAAAAACAAATTTTAATGATGACGTATTATTATCTTATGATGACACATCAAAGTCACCATTGATTTTTTAATAATTGATGACCAAAATAAAACTAAAATGTAACATTAGATATGATTTAAAAAAAAATAGTTGAGCGACCAAGATAAAACCGTAAGAATAGTCAAGTAACTAAATACATAGTTTATCCTATTGTTATTAGTAATGGAAAGCTGTCCAATTCTTGGATCAAAAGGGGATGAGGCTAAGATAAGGGCCTCAAAGGATTTGTTAAAGAAGGAAACGAGAGTGGGGAAGCAAAACTATTGGGCTTACTCCTTTAAAGAGCATGCCTAAGCATTGGGCTTACTCCTTTAAAGAGATGTCTTTATTTCCAATTTCGGTGGATCTGACTCTTTGTGTTTAATGCTGAAGAAGCCCATCCCTTTTCAAGGTCAAGCGGTGATGACTGACGAACACAACTTGGACTTGTAGTCTGTTTCAAGCCTAATTTGCAAAGCACATTCATACTGACGTTTCTTCATATATAAATTGATGTTACTTTCCCTGCTATATTTCTTTGTTTTTTTCTCCCAAAGGAGAATAACCTGATCGGTGGACATCATCCACCTCATTACTCTATAAATACCAATATCCATTTGTGCACTTCTACTTTCATATATCAGAAAATCGTCTAAACTGGCCAAGTTATTTGTTCGTCTTCAAAAAAAATACCTCGCTTCTCCTTTCTTTCCTCATCCTCCTCCTCCTGGTCAGCTCCGGTAAGCACTGTCTTATAATTCATTGTACACTTAGGGTTTTAAATTTGGCAAAATTTTAATGTTTTTTTTTTGGGAACAACAGGGACACAAATGGTGGAAGCACAACTTTGCGAGAGGCGAAGTCAAACATCGATAGGTTTTTGTGCAAGTACTCTTCTTTGCGACCGACAGTGCAGGGAAATGGAAGGTGCCCTAAATGGCGCATGTCTTCGCCAGGTCGTAGGGCTTGCATGTTATTGCTACGTTAGATGCTGATCAAACCATTTATGAAACATGGCACCTAATCAACCTTCATGTTATATAAAGCACTAATGATGCCAGTGTTATATTATCCAAATAAAGCGGCTGCCTTTACTATTCTATTACATAAGCTGCCAATGGCTTTTTCTTTGTTCATGTCAAATATAAATATTTGTGGATGTGAAGGATTAAAGTTCTAATTTATTTAATTTTAAAATTGATATTAACTTAAAAAGTATTTAAATAAAAAAGAGAATCAAAGTTTAATTTTCATCATTCTAAAATTAGTATGAATTTAAAAAATATTTAAACTATAAATTTGAGGAGGAGTTAATTTAATTAACTTCAACATTAATAAACATCTAGAAAATAAGTAAACCAGAACTTTAGGGGCCATATTGGTAAGAGTTGAAGATGAAAGGTTATGTGGTGAAAAAAAAAGAGATGGTGTCATATTTGGTATTTATATTATGATGACTTTTTTAAGATTTAACGAAAAACCAAATATTTAAATTATATTTAAGTGACCAAAGTTTTTTTTCCCAAATAAGTGTTTAAAAGTAAATTTAAGGAATGAATGCGATTTAGAAAATATTAGGTAAATTTAAGGGATTATTGTAATTCAAAAAATATTAGAATATTAAGTGTGGTAAAAAATTATTTAGAGAATTAAGATGATTTTTATAATAATTGTCAAAGTCATCTTTGTATATTAATGATTTTAATAAAGTCGTTATATCTTGTGTTTTTATAAAAATTTGGGATAAAATCATCTATAACAAATTAGCAATCAATGGTACTGCAAGAGAAAATGATAGTTGTCGTCTGGCTTTAATTATTTTGAATTGATTATAGTTTTACTTTATATTATAGAGATCAAATTAGGGGGGAAAAAGAAAAATATATGGATTAAAATTAAAATCATAAAAAACTTGTTTGAAAAATGCATGTTACGTACATTAAACACTTGTTAACATGAATTGGGCCCAATAACAACGCACGTGTGTGGATTTAATCCTAATCACTTGATGAAGAAAAATATAAATGATGCAATTAAATATCCATAAAAGTTCATACTTAATCAATCGATGTGAAATTATGTAAGTGTTAAACGTGTTGATGAAATTGTATTTAAATAAAATCTATTATATGATATAAATGGTAAAAGAAAATTAGATATATTTTTATAGAGGTCTCATTTTCTAATAATACAATACCTATTTTTAACAGTTTTAATACTCATCACCGGTTTAATTATTTGATTATTCAACATTTGTTTAAAACTGTTATAAATATGCACTATATTTCACTATTTGTTTTAATACTCTTCATCGGTTTAATTATTTGATTATATACAGTTTAACAATTCGATTGATTTGGTAAATTTAATCCATTATTCCCATAATTATTTTATTATTATTATTTTCAAATATTTAAAAATATTCTTTTTTTACCCTTCTTATTTCAAGACTTAGTCTTGATTAATCCAGATCAACCTGCATCGCACATAACCTGAAAATTGATAAATAAAAAATTGACATGCATTGCACATAACCTGTAAAAGTTTATTTATCTAAGAAAAATTGATAAAAAAATTTTAAACATCTAAAAAAAAATCTAGTTTAAACACTTATCTCTTCAACGAAAATAACCTGAAAATATAACTTATTTAACTTTAGGAACCTGAAATTTTAAAAAAAATAGTTTAGATATTTATTTTTAAAAAATTTCAATAATATTTTTTTGAACATGACTTAAAAATAAAAATTAGTAAAACCTTATATACATATTTAACTCAAAAAATTAAATACCTAAAAAATAATCATTTAGACATATTTTTAGATAAATTTATATGTGATATTGTACTTTTAAAATGTTTAGTGCGACACGTATATTTTTAATATATTTAATGTGTCACTGGTACTTTGATAAAATATCTAATGTACTACTTAAACTATTAATAAATTTTTATTGTGATAAATTTAAATTTTCATTAATCGATATGACATGTTAACCACGTACTATAATGATATAAGAAATGATATGTTAACTATCATATTAGACACTTAAAATAAATATATTATATTAAGAAAATTCTCAAAATAAAAATATAATATTAAATAATTTATCAAAATATAACCACATTAAATATTTTAAAAATATATAATATCATAAAATATTGTGTTAACAAGATATAATATTTTCTCCATAAAAAAATAACCCTCCTGGAGTAGTTAAAAAGGAAATGTAAAAACATTGGTGTTATTTTGGTCGATCTGTCGGCATTAATGCTGAACAAGCCCAGCCCGTTTATCGTCGAAAACAAACATGTCAAGCGGTTCCGAAAGAGACTGATGAGTGAGGAGCGCAAATTGGATTTGCACTCTGTTTCAAGCTTAATTTGGAAGGCACGTTCATGCTTATGCTTTCTGCAAACATAAATGATGTTACTTTACCAGCTATATTTATTTGTTTTTTTCTTCTGAAGGAGAATAACCTGATCGGTGGAGACAGCCAATTTAATTCATCATCATCATCTTCCTATATTGATAAATTTCTCTCTTTCCCCCCGCTATAAATACCAGTCTCCATTGCTCTATATACTTCCACTTCCATATATCAGAAAATCCACTGAAATGGCTAAGTTATTTGTTCGTCTTCCAAACTGTAGCTTCTTCTTCCTTTCTTTCCTCCTCATCCTCCTACTTTACTCCGGTAAGCAATCTCTTTGTTTATAATTTATTTAGCTGCATGTTTGTTGTGCGTTTGTCACATGAACGTTCTCTTGTGGAGCAACAGGGACACAATTGGCGGAAGCACAACTTTGCGCGAGGCGAAGTCAAACTTCGATAGGTTTATGTGCGAGCACTCTGCTTTGCGACCGACGATGCAGGGAATTGGAAGGTGCCATAAATGGCGCATGTCTTCGTCAAGTCTTAACGTTTGCATGTTTTTGCTACGTTAGATGCTGATCAAAACATCTATGAATATTGTACCGAATCCAGCCTCCATGTCATGTAAAGCGTACTGCTGATGCCAGTGTTATATCATCCAAATAAGGCTGCCGCCATTACTATTTACATAAGCTGCCAATGGCTTTTCTATGTTACTCGTATGGAATATGATGCCTTACATACATATATTAAGTTTGCGTTTTGATTTCTTTCATATATATAAAAGTTTATACCTTCGTCTGGATGTTCTACTATTTGAAATATTAGATTTTTCTTCTTTGTCATGAATGTCTTAATTGGACATCAAGCTATTTGTTCGTCCTCCAAACTATAACATTTTCCTTTCTTTCCTCATCCCCCTGGTTTACTCCGGTAAGCCATGGCTTTCTTTTATAATTGGTTTTATATTATTGCAATAATCTAAGCGTTAATTTTGATTTCAAAGATGTGACCGATTAATATAAATCACATAATATCAACTATTATTAAGTTTATTTTACTATTTTCTTTTTTCCTTATACAACATCACAATATAACTTATATTTATAAGCTATTACATCAATATAATAAGAATTTTAACTCTGAAATTTTCATGAAATGACAACATATACACATATTTAACATGTAATTTTTATATTATACGATTATAAAATTTTTACATTAATTCAAGCCACAATATCTTTTATCTTATTCTTCACTTGAAATTTTTCTTTGGATATGTAGAATATCTTTGTTTTCAAAGATTTTATAAAAATGTATGATAGTTCATAAAAATGTATGATAGTTGACATTCTGTTATGTGATAGATTAGTTTCACGTTTTTGTTCTTCACGTATTGTCGAGTACATTGATACTTTATATCGACTAGTTTAAAAGGATTAAATCTTTTACAAAGATATTGTAGACTCGTAATTGATATTTCTTGTAAGATCAAAATATTTTTCAATCATATTGTTTGGTAAGTACACATTGCAACGATTGTGTATTATGTTTCACAATAACGAAAATTAATGTTCATCATTCAGAGTTAACCGTAGAGAATATTTATTATACTATTTATTTTTAGAGTTAAACTATTCATCATTTGAAATAGTACCGATCATCTTTCATTTATACGGACTATTTAGATTTCTAGCCTATTATAAATGTTATAGAAGAAATAAATAAATTATACCATAAATCTTGATGAAATTGATATGAACATTCATGGTTTTTAGTTATAAAGTATGATTATGTTACTAAATAATAACTTATGTAACTGTATATCCTTTTATATGTCGAATTATTGGTATCATTGAGTTTTAATTTAGCGTGCAATGTTTATGTACGAAAATTTAGGTATATATATATATATATATATATATATATATATAGATTGAGGAGTCAGATCTTTTTACTATATGTGAAAATGATTTGTGAAGTTAATTTTATGAATTTTTTAAGCTTTAAAAATATATGCAAGTTATATTTTTATATAGTGCTAAATATGTCAATTTCTTTATTTGGACAATTTTTATATGAAAATTGGTATATATGTTTTATTTTTAACTAATAAAATTAGTTCTAGAAAATAAGAATATCAAAATGCATAAGTAGTTAAATAAAGAAGTATTTTTGTGATTAGAATTGGTACTAAAATACTGTTAATGATTTTATTTTTTTAATTATTTATTTCAAATGTATTTAGGAATCAAGAATTTGATTTTTAATGATTTATGTATTCAGTTAAGATAAGGATGAAGCGAAGTTAAAAGTATGTAAACTAGACAAAGGATTTCAAAACTTTCAAGAAGTTTTGATAAACATAAGTTTCAAAACTCTTGAACAGTTTAACCCAAAAATGGTAAAAAAAGAAAGAAAAAAGGCAAAGGACGTTATTGTCCAATTTGTACTAGTGGAATTCACAGAACCCATAATACTCCGGTCGCTCACTGAGGATGTGATGACATTTGTTTCTCATTTTGCAACGCATTGATGCTTTTCAAACGAGGAAAAATTTAGTGCAATTGGAGTAAAAAGCACCCTAAATCTAAACGTACCTCCCTGGTATTAACTGGGCATCCAAAGGGGCCTTAGTCATTAATGCTCAACAAAGCCCAGTCTTCATCATTCTATCCTCAACACAAGCATTTAAAGCGGTTCCAAAAGAGACTGATGACTGACGATTACTGAAGAGCATGCCTTGGACTTGCACTCTTTTTCAAGCCTAACTTGTACAGTTATTTTTTTTGGCTTTTTCTTCCTTAGGAGAATAACCTGATCGGTGGAGACAGCGAAAATAATTCATCATCCACCTGTTCCTCACATTGATCAGTCTAACTTCTCTATAAATACCAGTCTGCACTGCTCTACTTCCACTTTCATATATCAGAAAAAATCGACTGAAATGGCTAAGTTATTTGTTGGTCTCCCGAACTACACTTTCCTTTTCCTTTCCTTCCTCCTCATCCTCCTGGTTTACTCCGGTAAGCACTATCTTAGGAGTTTAAAAGACCGAGCACCGACTATTACCTTATTAAGCTTCTAATCTTTGGGTCTTAATCTGCTTGATTAATCATGAACGTTTTTGTGGTGGATCAACAGGGACGCAAATGGTGGAAACACAACTTTGCGCGAGGCCAAGTATAAGATCACTTGATTATTGTACGAGCACTCTCCTTTGCGACCGGTGATGCAGGGAATTGGAAGGTGCCGTAAATGGCGCCTGTCTTCGCCAGCTCTTAGGGTTTGCATGCTTTTACTACGTTAGATGCTGATCAAGCCATCTGTGAATATTGCACAAAACCCAACCTTCATGTTATGTAATGTAAGCATAGGAAATAATACTAATGAACCCAATGTTATATTATCCAAATAAACCCAACCTGTTATGCTCTGCTATTGCCTAATCTGATAATGTTCTACATAATAAAATTACTCATATGATGTCCAAAAAATACACATGTTATATTTGTGTAATTTATATTATAAATTTTAAATTATATTTAATTTTAAAATATATTTTAATTTTTTAATTTAAACAAATCATATGATTTAAATTTAAATTATTATTACTACATATAATTTTAATAAAAATAATAATTAAAATTTATGATACAATTCATATCAATCCAATCGGCCCATTGCAGGAAAATCAGGCCTGACAGCCATTTTTGCTAAATGTGCAAACCGGACCATATTGGCCTGTTGGCGGGTTTTACAGCTACAGGCCGGTTGCCCCGTCTACTTGTTGATTGAACCAAGTTGGATCATAAGGGCTGATCGAACTGTTGAAGCGGGTTATTTCGATTTTGATTTGATGCTCACGTCTCTCTCTCTCTCTCTCTCTCTCTCTCTCTCAGCCTTGAAGAAGCAGAAAAGAAGAATAACCCTCGTAAAATAACCTCAGTGAGACTTACTGAGAGAGGAGAAGCAATATTTTTCTTTCAGTGGAAGAAAGTTAGCAATTTGAATCGGTGTCGTGCGGAAAATGTTCAGGAACCAGTACGATACCGACGTTACTACATGGAGCCCAGCTGGGCGGTTGTTCCAAGTGGAGTACGCGATGGAGGCCGTAAAGCAAGGTTCGGCGGCAATCGGCCTCCGATCCAAGACCCATGTGGTCTTGGGTTGCGTTAATAAGGCTAATTTCGAGTTGTCTTCTCACCAGAAGAAGATCTTCAAAGTCGACGACCACATAGGCGTCGCTATCGCCGGTCTCACCGCCGATGGTCGTGTGCTCTCCCGGTATATGCGAAACGAGTGTATCAATTACAGCTTCACTTACGAGTCGCCGCTTCCTGTTGGGAGACTCGTCGTCCAGCTCGCCGATAAAGCACAGGTCTTTTTCGTCTCCCAAAATCTTCAATCTTTAAACATTTGTTTTCAGTGCACTTAAACCGATCAATGATGCTGATTTCCTGGGGGTTTCTTTTTGTTAGAAATGGGAAATTGCATAAGGATTTAAATCCTAGATGGATCTTTGCTGAAGTCTTGACAAGTATAAGGGTTTCGAGTAATGCTTTAAATAAATAAAATTGCAAAACTTGTTAGTGACTTAACCAGAATACTATTCTCCGTGAGAATTTGTTCACATATAAGGCTATATTGTAGGAAACATTGATGGATTAAGTAATGTGGAAAGTATAAGTTGACACCTCTACTTACATTATAGGTGAACTAACAACGTTAAATAAGATCACACTGACCTATTTGTAACTGTAATAGAAGAAAAATCAAATTGATGATGAGGACTAATATGATATGAATAGAAAATGGCTACAATTGAGGTTGTTTCCATGTTCCATCTGATGGTTTGTATATGTATGTTGGTGAGCTTTACTCGGAAAGAGTTTGCTTTGAGTCTACTTGGCATCAAGTGACTAGATCCACAATCTCATATTTGCTTTCTATTTGCGACCAGTCTTCACGTTGTACGGGCATACCGTGCTCAGTTTTAGTTGTGCACTTGTTAATTATATGATTAACATTTTTTCAACTATAAGGATTATTTGTTATGGACTCCATATATTTGTTGATGTAAAAGTTGAAGTTGTTAGTGATGCTGCATTAAATGATGCCAATCCTTTGGGGTTGGTTACTTAAAAGGTGTGGAAGCCTTACTGTTCTGTACTAACCCATTCAATTCACTGCTGAAATTTTGTATTTTTCTCAAAGTTGTTAAGGGCGTGATCTTAATTCAGTTACGTATTGGAAAGTTGAATGGTATTTGTATGTCATCTTGGTATTAAACATGATTGTTGATAAATGTTCTTGTAATCTACTGCATTTTTGGTTTTATTGTGTAGTGTTTTATTTTCATTTATTTCCATTTAAATGAAACATATTTGATGACTTGACGGTAAAAGCTAGCAATTCAAGTGGAGCACCAAACGTAATGGATATCTCGAAAGTGAGAACATTTGTATTCCAAAGGAAGCATGATAATTATATTTGTCTGTCCAATTGTGAGAAGGAAAATGATCTTGTTTTGGTGGCAGGTTTGTACCCAACGCTCTTGGAAACGGCCTTTTGGCGTTGGCCTGTTGGTGGCTGGCTTGGATGAATCTGGGGCACATCTTTACTACAACTGTCCAAGTGGAAATTATTTTGAATACCAAGCTTTTGCCATTGGATCACGGTCACAAGCTGCAAAGACATATTTGGAACGGAGGTTTGAGAACTTTACGGACTCCTCAAGGGATGATCTGGTCAAAGATGCTATTATGGCAATAAGAGAGACCCTGCAAGGAGAAACTTTAAAAAACTCAATATGCACAATTGCTGTGGTAGGGGTTGGAGAACGATGCCATATTTTGGATCAGGGAATTGTACAAAAAATCATTGATACCTTCGAGATTGCAGCAGAGCAAGAAGGTCCTGCTGCTGAACCTGATGCTGCCACAGGTCAGGAGACAGCACCTGAGCAGGGCGACGCTGCTGTTCAAGGTGGTTCTACCGATGAAGGCGTGGCCCCAAAGGATATTTGAGGTTGCTAGAACCAGGGTCTCATCTATCAGCGGTTGTAAACATTTGTGTTGGATATTTCCTTTTATCTTTATTATCTTTTACCCTTGGTGCAAACATGCAAATGCTAGGCCTGACCTGAAGCTACATTTGAATTTAGTATTAAAGATACTGGAACTTTTAAATTTGCATCAATCACTTGCCGGCGAATGCATGTTCAAGAAATTTCAGATCAAGCTTGTGTAGTCTTCTGATGATTCATGCAGAAAATGACAATTTTATGATGTCATTTATATATCAAGGTAAAGATGATGTAATATGAGGCTTTTGTCTCTGGTAACAAACGCCAAATCTGTTGATTGAAGTCCTTGCAAAGAAGATTCAATAGAATAATTCAGTGATGATTCAACATTGCTTTGGTTGCCCATTTCTTCAGAAAAGTAAATATTAAATACATTGCAATACAAGTAAAAATCATATCTTGTTTTGTTATGCGGGTCATCAATTCCGAATATCAGGAAGTGGAAGACCCTTGATCTGCATCTGCTTGTACATCCAGTGCCAATTTTCCACGTCTCAATCTTTCAGTTGCTTTCAAGTCGTGTTATTCTCTCATTATGATAGCATATCGATAACGAGTTTAATAATTTATAAAATCGAATGAAATCAAAATTCTCGTTTATAATCATGCATAATCAAAATTCATGAATGCACTACACATCTGATCTAAATTCATATATAATTTCAATATTTATCTCACAATAAAATATATAAAATTGACCCTTTTCAATCAAATATTAACATTTCTATAGCTATTCAATCATGGCTAATTTTTTAAAAGTATGTTATATATTTAATTATATATTAAATGGTATCAAAATCATATTCATATTAAACACGTAAAGTATTTAAAAATCAGTAACCGAAAAGTTTTCAAAGGTCTACTCCAGTCAATAGGTTATCCGGTAGGTGAGTGGACCCTAATGTTTTGGAAACCACAGCAATCAAGACATCAAGTCTTAATAATTGGCTTCTTATGAAAAATATAATAAAAACACAGCTTAAATACAGTGCGTTTTTCTCAAAAAAAAAATCTTCGGTGATCGGTATATTTATCGATTTAACATCGGTCAGATTATATTTCCCGATCTAACACCCGTAGTAGTAAAGCGCACTCCCTGCCCCGCGCTATATGCTGACATGGCTTATACGTGGGTATAGCGCGCCCCATGATCCGCGCTATATGCCACATAGGGGTATAGCGCGTCTCCTGATCCGCGCTATACGCCACGTTTTATCTGAATAATTACATATAGCGCGGTGCATGTACCACGCCTTATATGGTTATAAATACCCTTCTCTCCCGGTTAAGTTTCTCACATCTCCTCACATCTCTCCTCTCAACTTATAAATTAATACAACAATTCCGTCAACGAGTGCAAATTCTGGTAATTTTCTCATATTTGACTTAGAAGTTCGTGCGATTTTTCGTTATAATTTTTTTATTATACTTATTGTTTATTATGATTATTTGAAAAAAATATTATACTAATTATTTTCAATTAATTTTTGTGTTTGTAAAATTGAAAAGCAGGAGCATACGTCAAAATAGTTTTGCAATCCATGTAATAATATAAAATTATATTATTTAAATTATTTACGTTGATGTGTAAAAATTATTGTGTTATATTTTCGTTCATATATATTATTTAATCAAGTTTGTTTCAGTTATTTTTTTTGCAGATATAATATTGCCACACTTTTAAACTTAAAGAATGGCGCGACTTTCAGCTATTGTTTATTATGATGATGAAATTCGATAAGATGAAACCGGCGTTGTTTTCGTATCAAATGAGCGTGTTAAAATATCATTCAAGAGAAACATAACTCTTGAGGAGCTGGTAACGAAGATTTCGAAGAAGATTCATGTTGGAAGTAGTAGAAGAATGTCGTCGTTGCAGTACAGATTTCCAACATCATTGTTGTTATTAACTTATACAACGTTCGAACTTTCGAACAGTGATGATGTTCAAATGATGGTTGAAGCTCAAAGTAATTATTCAGACGCCGCTATTGAGATGTATGCACATTTTGTTCAAGTGCGTGCTGTTCGGGGTCAATCTTTAAGCTCCCACTATGGGTTGGCTGAACAAGTTAATCAAGTTGACAACCCGACTATAGTAAAGTGTAATGATTTTAATGCCATAATGGGGAAACATTCATCCGCAACTCCTTACGATATGTACCGAAGTAGGTCAACGAACAATCCGCATGGCAACACCGCGTCCAGTTCAAGGGGAAGGCATTCATCTGCAAATTTCTTTGACCATATGGAGATGCCATCGACGCAACCATCTGTGCAGTTTCCATTTTGACATGATGGCTTTAAGCTCCAGGGGGAGGCATTCGACTGCGAGCTTTTTCGATCTCAATGTCGATATGCCTTTGTTGAGTTAATCGATTTATGAATATGGCCAAGAGGGGGGTGAATTGGCAAATAAAAATTCCGGTGAAAACTTGTGTAGAAAATTGAAAGTAATTGCGCAGCGATTTAGAGTGGTTCGACTTTCTCAACCAAAGTCTATGTCCACTACCTTAGCTATCCACACTAAGGATTTTCCACAAATTCACTAATTTGTCTTTCTTTTGAGGACAAAGAGTAACCTTACAAATCCCTCAAGAATTATACCCCAAATTCTTGAGAACACTCTCTCCCAAAGAGAACAATACAAATTTTGTAAACTTACAAGAAAATCCTCACAAGGCAAGATGTTTGCACAATTCTAGAAAAAATAAAGAGCACTCAAGAATAATACAATTGAGCACAATAAATGTTCTTGAAAGCAAAAATGAATATTGAATGAAAATAGGCTTTGAAAATGCTCAAACTTGAGGTTTGATGCTTTGTGTTTGATTCTCTCTTGATTCTTGTTGATACTTGTTTATTATTGTTGATCAATGGCTTCTAAGATTGTTTAAATACACCTTCAAATGATTCTGAACGTTGGGGATGATTAGTGGAGTTAATAGAGTCGTTTTAGTGTGAAATCAATTAATAAAACATCTTGGAGCGTGGGGGGAATCGGTACTCCCTCATGGGGAATCGGTTCCTTAAGTGTAAAATTCAAATATTTCAACCGTTAAACAGGGGGGAATCGGTTCCCTCCGAGCATTCTATTTTTCTCGGAGCCAAACCATTCAGGGGGAATCGGTACCCCCTTAGGGAGGGAGAATCGGTTCCCTCTGGACATTCTAGAATTTTTGGCTTTGAAATGGTTCGAAATACTTTATAAAATTATTTTGAAATAATTTTAAGATTAAAACTTAATTTTACACTTGAGTAAGGATTAAAAATGACTTTTGAAAGATTTGGAGTAATATTTTGATATTCGAATAATTATATCGAATATACTTAGAAAATCTTTTTGAAAAAATATTAAAATTCATTTATCTTAATTTGTTATATCGAAATATCAAAATGTTTTCAACAATCTCCCCCTTTTTGATATAACAAAACATTTTAGTAATTTTAAGATTTTGAAATCAAGTTTTGAAATTACTCCCCCTTACTCTAACACTTCTCCCCTTTAAACACTTTAACATTTCTCCCCCTTTTTGTTAAATCAAAAAGACTTTTAAAATATTTTAAACAAGGTTTTGAAAACATTTAACCAATTGATTATAAATATATATATAGCTTAAGCTGCTAAGATCACAATCAAGAGAAACGTTAGCCATTAGTTTCATAGTCAATATTCATAAACAATGTGACAAGGCAAAATTGGTCATATATCTAATTGATGTAAATGATGCAATAATGAATAAATTTAACCAAACCAAATATATAGAAATATAAGTTCAAACATGTAACATCCCAAATCAGGGTCAGTGACTAAATTGCAAACTTTGAAAGTTTTGTGTTCAATTTAGAAATGAAATTAAGTCTCGGGATTTAAGTAAAGAATTTTAATATTGGATTAAATAGCAAAGATGGATGAACTAAAGGGGCAAAATGGTCTTTTCATGGGAAAGATTTTTATCTTCCTTTTTGAGTATTATAAACGTGGGAAATATGAGAGAGTTCCAGACTTCTCTTCTTCATTCTCTTCTTTTCCACCGTGAAGCCATAAGCAAAGGTAAGTTTCTTCATTAGTTGATTATTTGTTCAACTAAATGTTTGGTTATGATTATTGGATGATAATTAAGCTTAAGGAAAGCTTAAATCATCTTAAAAACAAAGGATGGTGGAATTAGGAGGGATTAAAGATTAAGAGTTTTTGAATGAAATTCTAGAATAGAGTTCTTTACTCAAATTGGAAGATAAATTTGACTTGTCAATGGTTGAATTAAGAGTTATGAAGTGATGGAATTGAATTTAGAACAAGAAGAAAAATTAGTGTGATTCTTGAATTCTATGTAGAGAATTAGATTTTGAAGTTAAAGATGTATTGAATGAGTAGTAATGAGTTTAAGCATGTATATGTAAGTTAAGAATAAGAAAGGGGATGATATGAAGTGTTTGAGAGGAAATGAAGTAATTTTTGTGCTGAAAAATTATTTCTGGGTTAGGGGGAATCGATACCCATTCAAAGGGGTACCGATACCCTCTCAAACGACAGAATTCCAGAATGTCATGAGGGTATCGATACCCCCAGTAGGGAATCAATACCCCCTAAAGGAAAATTGTGAATATGGGTTTAATAAGTTTGTTTAAGTTGCTAGTATCCAATTACAAGGTGTAGGTATCTAATGATTGCCTCAAAATGTACATTTATGTAGATTCTGCGCGTAAAGCAATTCCGGAACATTTGGCAAGTAAGATCGATCAAGGGAAAGATAAGAGATTAGAATTGACTAGTGAGGCCAAGGTGAGTGCATATTCAATAGTATATGGTGTGATGGGAATAAGACTTGCGATGAGTCTATTTCCTGAAGTGTTACATATGAATTCAAGATTAAAGGCACGAGTTGAATATGAGTGTATGTATGTTTGATTATCTGAATTGATATGTTTTGTATGTGCCATGTGGTTTATGTAAAAACATGATTAAGTGTTATTAAGAGAATATAAAATAAGTTATGAAATTATAGGAATATAGAAGATAAGTCGAGAGATGTAGGGAAATAGAAATATATGTTTATTAAGAGCCATAGGAGAACAAATATAAGTAATATGATAAT